GCAGCTCCCATCTCTGGCCAGCCACCACGGGGAGCAGGGAGCGTTTCCACCCGCTGCAGAAGATGGACACCAACAGAAGCGCCAGCTGGGGTAGCCAGGGCCTGGGGAGCTGGGGTAGGACTGCAGGCAGGCTCTCCATCGGCCCTGGCATTACCCGGAGGAAGGAGCTGAAGGAAATCCTCCTGCAGAGCAATAGCCCTGGCAGCACCAAGCGCTTTGCCACCACTCAGAAGACATCCAACAGCAGCAGTCTCCTTGCAGGGCCGCACCAGGAGCAGAAGCCTGAGCAGAGCCCTGAGGTGCTGTCCCTTGCCCTGGATCCCCTGGAGCACGAGTGGCTGGTGGCGGGGGCCCCGGGTGGTGGAGAAAACACAAAAAAAAATCAGGCTGCTGGACCTGGATCCCAGCCTGCTGACCAGGAAAGACTTTGTGACAGGCTTCACCGCTCTCCACTGGCTCGCCAAGCACGGCCACCATGAGAGCTTCATCCAGGTCATCTCCCACGCCCAGAAGAAGGGCTATCCCGTCAATGTGAACATCCCCACGACCAGCGGCGGGCTCACCCCCTTGCACGTGGCTGCTCTGCAGGGACACGAGCTGCTCATCAAAGTGCTGGTGGGAGCTTACGGGGCAGACACCAGCCGCAGGGACCACAACGGGCGCAAGGCTTGGCAGTACCTGCAGGCAGACACCTCCAGGGAGCTGAAGGAGCTGGCAGGAGCCGTGGAGGAGGACTTCGTCCAGCTGCGCCGTCACAACACCAACAACAATTGTAAGTCATCCAGAGAGGCCAGGGCAGGGCGGGACTGTGTGGACTGTGGGGCCAGGGGGAAAGCCCAGCGCTCCTGGAGACTGTCGACCCTCCGGGACTTTGCCAGACAGGCATTTGCTTTCTTCCAAGAGCGCTGAAGCTCCCCTGGCCCATTTGCCTGCAAACCTGCGCTGAATAGCAGCCAGAAGAGCCTGCAGGGAGCTGGGAACTCAGCGAGGGCTGGCGCTGGAAATCCTGGCCAAGCGGGGATTAACCCCCCGCGTGGCGGCGCCGTGGCCACCCGGGGTCTCGTGTGGTCTCCTGGGGCTGTGCTGGTGTGAGTGTGCGTGGGGCAGCCATGGGCATGGGGAGCACTGCCTGGGGACAGCCCTTCCAAAAAAATGCTTGTCCCTGGAGGGAGTTTTGTCCCCTTCCCCTGCTGATGGGGACCCCTTCCCACAGCCCAGCAGAGCCCCACGGTGGGAGCCTGGCTCCCAGCAACGCTGTGAGGTTGGACTGGTCATGGTGCCTCGGGCACTTGGAGAGAGACACTGGCAGAATATAATTAAATATTTCACAACCATACTCTGAGGTTCCAGAGGCCTGGCATTGGGCTGACGATGGAGAAGCAACTACAGGTTCAGAAACAACCCCCCCAAACACTTCTTTATGTACACTTCTCTGCCGGCAGGGAGAGCGGGCACAGACAAGCAGACCGTGCCACCGAGCTGCAAACGCTTCCCAGCTCCTTGTGAGATCCCCGGATCTCCGCCACACGCGCCTCCTCTGGGTTGCTGTTTGTTTACGACAGATAAAGCTGTTTTTCAGTCAAGTAAGATCTGGAGCACCCGGTTTGCCAGAGGAGGCCGGGCCCAGAGAAATCTTTCAAAGTGCAAGACAAGTCCCCCTGGCAGCCCTACCCTGGGGACCCCTGTCCAGGGGAGCCTGAGGTGCTCAGCCCCACTGGGGATGGGGGCCGGAGCAGAGGAGGCAGGAGGGACACCCAGTGGGGTGGCATGTGGTGGCTCCTGCGGGGACTGGAGTCCAGGAGCAGCTCTGGAAAGATGATTCATTGCTCAAAACCATGGAAAAGGTATGAAGGCTGTGAGATTATCTTTGTTGCTACTGAGGTCATGCTCAAAAATGAAACTCTCAAGAAACATCAGCATAACCCCGCGTGTATGTACCGGTAACTGCATTAAAAGGGCAAAGCCTCTGCTCGCCTATTTGTGTTTTATTCACCAAAACTGGAGCTCTGCCCAGTTGATTTCAAAAGCTGATTTCAACTTGCTTTTCCCATTCTCAAAGGCCAGGGCTGCTTCAAAATATCTTCAAAAAAAAACAACAGCCCCTTCCTCTTTTTCATCAGCATGAGACCATTTCTGCCTCCTTAAATAGCAGTCCCGCTGGAGAAGTGACTCTCAGACAGCGACTGGGGAGTTTCTGTTCCCCATCGCAGAGCCGCAGCCCTTGTGCAGACACCTTGCTTTGGAGGGGAGTTGTGGTTTCTTTCCAGCTGCCTTTCTGGGGGTCTGCAGAGGTGACCGAGGGACTCAACATGATCTCTGGCCTGACTGCACGGGTGAATTTGCACCTTGATGCAGAAAGATAGCTGGGTAACTCCCTCAGGGGAACTTGGGTCTGTGGGTTTCACCGTTTATACTCAGATAGTGCTCTGAAATGCTGCTCAGACACTGGAACAACTGCAGTGGATGATACATGGAAAAACAGCCTCCAGATGAGTGGATAGTGATCCAGTGACTGGATCCTAGTTCAGCTGACCACAGGGACACATCGGTGTGTCTGGACATCCTTTTAATCACTGTTGTTCGTCAGCAGCAGAGACGCACAAAACACCCTGGGAATGGATTTAATGCCTGATCTACACCAATTTTGCAATGTTTTAACTCTTAATAGATTAAAGGCAACATGTCTCCTTCCAGAACTTCTCTGGCCACATCCATGCCACAGGAGAGCAGGCTGGTTTCTAGTGAGCCTGGCCACAGCAGCATTTTTTCCATGAAAAGCACTGGTGTCAAAACACCTGCGATCTTTAGTTCTGGTAACCAAAGTGCTGTTGATAAGACAGGTGGGTGCATGTTCTGATGAAACATTTTTTGCCTGTTAATCCTCTGTCACCCTTTTGCAGCAGCGTGCTGTCGGGGAGAGGGCGTGGGTTCGCTCTTACATCCTCCTCTGAGTAAGGCACAGAGTAAACAGTGGAATTAGTGAGAATTTCCTTGAAGGATCAGTTTCCTTTGCATTCGTACCTGCAGCTTAGTCATGCTCCACCAGGAAACCTGCACTTCAATGTTCCATTTGAAAGTGAAATTTACTGGTAACAGTCAAACTGCTGCATTTAAATGTGACTAAATGATTTTCAGTACTTGCCTCCCCTTGACAGTGAACCAAAACCCCCTAAAGGCAGCTTTTCCCCCCATCTTTCGGTGGGTTGAAGCTGTATTCTGCTCTGAGGCAAATTAGGCAGGCACTTCAGAAGGAGCGAGACCAGAGCCCTGTTTCTCTGGGTGGTGTTACAACATCCTCATCAACGCCACCCCCCCCCGCCTCGCCTGTCTGCAAGGGTTCCTCTCCATGGAGCAAAAAAAGGATCTTCTTCAAATTGCAGTACCCTTTCCGCTGCGGTACGTTGTCTTTGCCCCAGACACCACGCTGCTTCCAGTGACCCACCCCTCTGTCTCACGCGGTTTATTCTCATACCTACAGAGGCACAGTCGGTTTGGAGATGCAGACACATTTAAAAAAATATTCCTCAATCAGCTCTAAATTTGCTTCTCAGAAAAAAAAGCATATCCATCAGAATTAATGGACTAGAATATGCAAATTATTTATTTTTTTTCTTTAACACTTCTTTTGATATCTCAGTTACCATGTGTTAGCCCAGTTCTGCAGAGAACCTTGATCCCCCCCCCACAGCTCTCACAGGGAAGGACAGAGCAAAGAGAGCTGCCACCGGAACCACAGAAATCACTCAAACCCAGAGGTATTTGTGTTGGTTAAGGTTCTGCAGAAGATTGATTTTAACCCAATTTTAATTTGTACTAAATTTACTTCGTGCTATCCCTTGATGTCCAATTTGAAAACCAGATTCAGTCAAATGGGGAAAAATAATACAAGGGGTTATTTTCCAAAGCAGCTCCTTGGTAGAAGCTGCTTCCATCTAAAAAAAATTGCACAGTAATGAGAGAAATAGGGAGACTATCAAACAAATTGTAATGAATAGTTCAATCTGTTGCTCAGGAAAGTGTTCCTACAAATGTCATGGAGAAAACTCTTTCCTTTCTCAACTCCATAAAACTACTGTTTTCCTCCTCAGACAGGTCCTCGTAGACACAATTAAAGGGAAATTCTGCCAACAGTGGTGATGGGGAGAGGCAGGGGGTGGTTTGCAGAGCTCCAAGGCTGATCTCCGATCCTCAGTAGTGCTGTTATTTCCTGAACACTTGCTTCAAAGAGAAGAGCACAGAAAAGATTTAAAAAACAGGGGTAAAAGTGTTTGCAGCAGATGGGCCTCTGTTGCAACACCCCTGGCAATGCTGTTTGCTGCTTTCCTGTTGCAGTGACATGCTGCTTCCCCCTGATAACAAAGTAGAAACTAGACTCTTACCAGACAGGAAAAGAAGCTAGAAGATACCTCTGAAGTGCCCTGAAGTTGGTAAAAATCCCAGCCTTGCTCTCCTGTGCTCATAGAAACCTCCAGCACACCTTGGGAGGGAGAGACTGTCAGAGCTCTAAGCAGGGTGTGTATTTGTTGTGCCTTTATGTGTGCTTGGCTATGCGCTGCCCAGCATTATTTGTTACAAATTGTAACACGAAGGAGGTAAATCTATTTACCTTCAACATGAAAAGCAGCAGCACCGAAGGTGTGGCAGCCTGAAGCTTCCTCAGGAAGCTGCCGCTCAGGAACTGAGCCACTGTGGCAGGCTGAACCCAGAAAACAGCACGAGAGCACTTTGCAGCAAATAGGTGATGGTCCACAGGCCCCAGAGGAGAACGCCAGTGCCGGGAAGCTGGAATGCTGACCACTCTGAGCAGTTTAATCCCTTCTTTTTCTCTCTCCCCTTTTTTTTAAAATAGCTGCTAACTCTTCCTTTGAGCAACATCTTGAGTTACTACCCTTCTGCTGAGAATGTTTTAAATTAAGCTGCACCTGTGGCTGGCATCAAGACCAACTTTATCAAGCCAACACAGAACTCCAAACGAAACTCAGGTTTTTACATATTCTAGGGAACATGCAGCCATTATGCATTATTGTCTACAGCAGTATTGCATTTTGTCTATGATAAATCTATCCCCTGCCCTTGCTGTATTCATCCCTTTCCTCCTCCTCTCCTGCCTCCTAAGTGAAACTTTCTTTCATCTGATTATTCCACTGCACCTACTCCCCAGCCAGGATCTCAGCCCCACATTCCAAGGGCTGCCCTGCCCCATATCCCACCTGAGCAGCTCCCGCTGCTGCAGGGGCTCGACACACAAGCAGCAAGAAGCGGTCATCCTCGGCTGACCACAGGCGTGAGGTGAACGCAAGGAGCCACCTCCATCTAACACAGGCACGTGTCCAGGGGCAGCCTTGCTTGTATGCTGCTCAGGCACAGGAAGGGTGGTCTTGATTTTCAAGTATCACTTCTTCTCAACTCTGCGTTCTTATTCCCTATGCAAGTATTTTTATAGTGCTTTCAGGCATGTAACATTTCAGCATTTGCCTGGTACCACAGTGCCATCATTCGCACTGTTTGACGCTTGCAGTTCAGATGTACTCTTCCTTTAACTGAAAAATGTGATGCCACTGACCCGCAGGCCCAGCTACGCTTCACTACAGTCTACTCTGGGTGCTCAGAAGGGTCAAGTGGGAGATAAGGGTGGAGCAGAGAATCTGGAGCTGTGACAGAAGCCAGCCATAGGGATCTTACGTGCATCCAACACGTAAGCAGTGTCACAGAGGGTGGCAACAGGAGACTGACTTGGTTCAGCAAAAGGCTTTGTTAGTTTGGATCCTCCTCACCTACCACAGCACACCTCAATGGGGAAGCCACCTTACCCCAGAGGAGCATTTTCAGTGTTTTGCTTTCTAGCCCCATAAAATGCATTCAGCACCTATACACACACATCTTCAGCAAATTCTGACAATGCTGCTTAC